ATTTTGAAAAGGCATTATGCTTGTAACCAACGTATAGTGACTCACTGTCACTGACATGTGCAAAACTGATGCTAAAGTCCTCATCAAAACTGGAGGTGTGGTTTGATCAGATCTTCTTGGCAGCGATTAAACAACAAACTCTCATCAGGTTCTGATTAAAATGTTGCTAAATCCTAATTGGTGCTCAAAAGTACGTGACATCACATTTCTCCAACTGAGCCCCACCCATTACAAATCAGTGAGAAGAGCACAGAGAAAAAAGAAGCAAAGAAAACATGCTAGCGGGACACACTACTCAAAGAATCAAGGGTCCAACTTGAAATGCAGGAACAACATCCTGGAGGCAACCAATCATGCTCAAAGGAACAGAACAAGATTGCTGTTGTCTTCTCCACTCATATACTGAAAAGTACTTCAATATAAATGGAAGAGAAGCTGATAGTCATGGTCAATGGCTTCCTCATTCTCCACAATATAACTTCAATAAGCTACCGCAACTTCAATAAAAACATATATGCATTGTTAAAAAACGACTGCGTTTTGTGACAGAAGTGGAAACATGAGAAAATAACTGCCGGGGCTGAGCATGTAAATCATGTGTTCAATGCAAACAGCAAGCTTCAGGCTTAATGTGTGGTAACATTACATTTATGTCCTACAAATTTTTGTTTCCTGTTTTCCCTCTTTAATTTAAGCCGAACGACAAACAGCCATGCATTTTCTTTTCTAAAGGATCTCTAGTTGGCTTCCTCGCATTCACAGGTCAGAACTCGTCATTGTTCAACTTTGACCAAGTGGATGACATGTGCTCCAATAGAAACACTAATGCACTATGTTTGGAAATGGCGAAGTAAGCTCAAGGCGACTGTACCTTAATATATGTATTTATGAACATAAGGTCTGCTGTTTCAGTTATTTGTCCTCGTGTAAAGGGACAAAATGTTTTTTGAAAATAAAAACCAACAGAACAGAGTAATGGCAGAACAAGAGGAAGATAGCAATCAGAAAATTATTTTCAGTTTTAAATCAAAGACGTCAATGTTAGACACATTTAGAATAGAATAGAATAGAAACCCTTTTTATTGTCATATACATATACACATACACGAAATTTGACCTCTGCATTTGACCCATCTTTTAGTAGCATTTGGAAATGCTACTAAAACTTTACTTCTACTATCAACCAATAACGCCACATCCACTTAAAAATTGGAAAGTCTTAACAGCAGGGCAGGAGAATAACACAGACTGTGAGAGTGAAAAGGTCAACAGAGTTCACCAGGCCTCCTCTTAATGAGTAGCACCACCTTGGAGTGGATCAGAGGGAAAGGCCGCCAATCATCACCGCTCCTCCAGTGCTGCTGAAATGTGTCAACAAAGCAGTGTGAGAGGAGCATGCTCAACTGTTTGCCCTACCACACCTGAAGATGATGGGATAGGCGGAAGAAAAAATAAATTGAGTGTAGAAGGAGAGGATTGACAGAAAGCCAGGAGTAAGAGACCCCCCTCACCCTCCCACCCCTCCTCCTCCCCCTCAGAATAAAATCCAGTGCCATAAAATGTAAGCACGGGCAAACAGCTCCTCCCCAGCTTGTCGGGGAGTTTGTTTTAAAGTGGAAATGAGGCTGATGGTGCACTTGGCGATTAGCCCTGCGGCTAACATGAAAGGAGAGGAAAAGACAGCTGCTAATTTTCTCCTTTGACCTTTGGCTCCCGCTGGTATTTCATACAAACGCTGATTTATGGAGGAGCCTAACAGCTCACTGCTACTGGAGGGATTACCGTAAGAGAAGGAGGAAGGGGGAAAAAAAGAAGGTGAACCCCAGGACTCACAGTATCTCAATTCATTCATTTCATCTTTTTGTTTTGTAGCTCTGTCCTTTTTACTTTGTATGTCCTTCTCCTCTCACCCGTACCTCTTTGTCGATTTTACTTTGCTTCTCTGTCTGTTGGCTTTACTGGATTTTTACTCTCTTTCTATTTCCATCTTTATTTGTAGTCTCTAGTTTCTGACTGCATTTATCCTTCATCCTGCCCATCCTCCCGTGCTCCTTCTATATGTTCACTGTGAAACAACCATTTAGAGCACATTTGGCACAGGTATGACACTCTTGTTTGCAGTGTCACACTCATTATCATTACATATTAGCATGCTGTGGTGCAAAATCTTTCTCAAAAAAATGAGAAAGATGACACCCGGAAGATCTTTCTCATCCACCGTGCAGTGCCCTGTTCTGAATATGAATACATGTGTCTCAGCACTTTAGCTGCAGGGAGATCCCATCAAAGTCAGTTTCATGCAAATCCCACATATGGATGGCTCCCATGTAAGGAGGCCCTGAAAAGCCTCTGGGGCAGCGGAGACCCACGAAGTGTAGATCTGGCACCCTTCTTACCCTCCTCTCTCTCTACTATTGGCCCTTTATTGTTCCCTCAAGGGGAAGAGAGGTGCATGGAACAATTAAAAAAGCCAATCACTGGATATCCCCACTTCAAACATTCTGGTTGGATATTAGCTTGCTAATCGCAGCACAATTGTTCCTGTCATGCATTTAGTGGAGTCAACCGGTGCTTATAAGATAAACAGCTACTTTAAACATGAACTGTATTTATTTGAAGACCAACTGCTCCAGATCCAAATAAATGTTTCAGTTGTAGCAACTGAAAATTATCCCAACACGTCACTTTGTCTTCAGGCCCTGACTCATCAATGGCGGGTGTGTCCCGCACAGTTGGCACTAGTCTGCCCGCGTCGGCGGCTTTTTAGTGCAAATTCAGAATGATGAATCGGCGGTGCCGCCAGTCAGGGAGAGAAAGCACTCTGATTGGCTGATCAGCTTAAGTACAACAGAAGAGAAGCGAAAGGGAGTAAAGCAAGCAAACGAGTAAAGTCAATAAGGCACACACTTAAGGATCCTCTCATTTTTCATCTTTATCTCATCTGATCGTTCTAATACACAAGTATTTTCACAACGACATGGCCATCTCATCTGAAGCTAAGTGGTGAGCGAGAGTGGTGTGAACGTGGTCTGAAAAACCTCTGTTTGGAGTTTTCCATGTAGCACAAACACTTCAGCCTCGAACCCCATACAGAGACATTCCTTTAACATTAGAATACAAAATAAAGCCCAGTTCTCCAAGACAAAACACATTAGTAATATACAAAATAAATAATACCAGGAAGTGAATGGGTCACAACAAGAGCAACTCGTCACCAGCCAGACACAACAACCAGGACAAAACTTGGAGGCAGATGTGCAGCACATTGAATACAGCAAGTAACCAAGGATTTCCAAAATCAAGAGGAGCTGGTCGGAAGCTATAGAGGAAGAAACTGCTTCATATGTTTTCGGACTAAAAATGTACACATGAAGGATACATTTCTCAAAGAGGGCCAAGATAGTGGCAGTGACGTCCAGTCCCATGGGATATGTCTTGGTTTTATTACAAATAGAAAATATGTCTCTCTGATTTGCAGCTTGTAAATATTAACTCAACTAATAAATATCATGATATTTACAGTGAATTTAATTTTAGGGTAGAACTTGTTTTGACGCCCAAATCGATACAATACATACAAATCAAATCAATTATAAAGCTACTTACTATTATTAATAAACCTCAATACATTATATGTATCAGGGTCATAACAGTTACCCAACCTCAATAATGAAGAAGCTTCGCAGCCATGTTCACACACTGCATGGTTTCAACTGTATCTCTCTCTCTCTCCCTCTCTCTCTCTCTCTCTCTCCCTCCATCTTTTGTTCGCACCCTCTGAGTTTCATTCAGAGTTCAAGCAGGTCATTAGCAGAGCGATTACAGTGTGCATCCATTAAGAAAATGCAAGTGTGTGTGTGTGTTAGTGCACGTGTGCCTGTCTGTGATCACCACGTGAATGTTTGCATGCAAGCGTGTGCCTAACTGTGATCACAATGTGTGTGTGTGTGTGTGTATCAATCACTCCAGTGTGGGTGACGACGAGGAGCTGTTTGTCTTTCTCATAAAAGGGAAAGGGATCAAAAGGGCTGGTCTACCAGCTGGACCTTCAATCACACTGGGACAACGTGACTTTAGAGCCCTGGGCAGCTGCAGCTCTGGGGATGGTGTGTGTGTGTGTGTGTGTGTGTGTGTGTGTGTGTGTGTGTGTGTGTGTGTGTGTGTGTGTTGAACCCTTTTAATCACAATCCCTGCACATTTTCCATTTCCAGATTCCAGGCTTAGATCATTCTGGTTTATTATAACTTGTGTGTTATATTCATAGTTTTGTCCATCATTTCTATCAGTTTTAATAATACTGTACTTACTATATGCTGCGATCTGGGAACATGTCAACATCGCTATCACAAAGACAGACGAGTCAAGAAACATGACCTTCAGACAGGTTTGTGAAAAAGACAGGAGTTTAGATTATATAACCTACTTAATCCAGAGATAAAACTGAAACATAAATGCACCTGAAAAGTTGCTAATAATTAATCTTTTATTTTTAATTAATTTGCCAATGATGTGTTATGATCTCGATTAATGCATAAATCGCTCATTGTTATAGAATGTCGAAAAATAGTGAAACAAGCTCATCATGATCCCCAAAAGCCCAAAGTGACATCTACAAGGTCAAAGTTGAACCAAGAAGTTGATCTGTAAATTATGATTGATATTTACAATAGGCAAGTTATCATTCTAATGTTCATCATGTTTTTACTTCTTCCAAATATGTTCGGCCAAGTTTGTTTGAAACCTGAAATGATGAACAAAACAGTGAAAATAAGACCCAAGTTATAATTACCTGGAAGTATCCTTTCATTTCATTCTGTAAGAGGTTTGAGGATAGTGGCTTGACAGCAGGACCATGACACCATACAACATGGTACCATAAACAAGCTTTTCAAGGTAATCACAATGCAGATGAATCGTCTGAAAGCTGCAATGACAGCCTTATATTACACTCAAGTGACCACAAACACAACTCAACTTTAAAGCCGTAAACATGTACTCACCCATCGCTGCATGTGCGCTCTATTCTAATGTTTCCTCCAAAACATTAGCTGCCACCTGAAATAAACAAACACAAGAGTTACTTGATATTTACAAGTAAACAAAAAACAAACTACAAATCCTCTCATGTTGTATAACTTTTAGAAGGTTGTATAATCTACAGGTTGTTCCCACACTGAAGCTCATTTATTGCTGGCTCTGTGACTCAGTGAGCTGCATGATAATCTGTGATATGGAGTGTTTAAAAAATAAGCGCATGTTATCAAATGAACAGGAATGCACAAGCTACTCTGCCCAGAGTTCAGCAGCTACACAGATGAGGTGGGAGCTCAACATTCTCTCCAAGACATACCACATGACATCATTTATCATATTTCTTCTCAAAGCGCCCTCTGAGCTCCAAAGTTCCAAAATGTCACCCTCCTTGCTTTTCTGCCCAGTATAAATCACCTTAATGCTTCACAAAAGGAGAGAGGATTTCACCTGGGTGTGTGTAACTGCATACATGTGCACACGTGGGAGCGTACCAATGTGTGTGTATATGCCGAGGAAGCAAGATCAAAGCCACAGGAGAGGCATGACTGCAGAGTTTTGAGATCTTGACACGCCTGTTGAACCTGCCATGTTGACAGTTTTTGTCTGGGAGCCATGTCCAAACCGGCCCTTGTTCACAGAAGATCAATTTAGACTCTGAGATTGATGGTGTGTTGATTTAACACAAGGATTTTTTTTCATGTCGAATATGAACACACAGGAATGAAAGTCCAGTGGTGACTCTTTATTTATAGCACTGACAGCACATTTCTCACATATTGTTGGTTCCTCACATTTTGTATTCCCATTGGAAAACTCAAAAATGTAAAAGGTAAAGGGAGTCAAGTTACGGTACTGTTTTTTTTCAGTTTGGTGATACAGTAATGAGGAAAGCCTCATATTTCTACAGCAGCAATATTAAATGTATGTCCCATTTTGGCCAGGAAAACTTACAAATATCGAGAATTATTGAGAAAAAGCAGCATCCCCTATTGTTCTCCAGGGGGGCTTGGAAGCTTTTGGTACAGACTGATACCGTCAGTATGAAAAAGTAGTATAACTTCATTATAAACTTAAATTCCAACAGCCATACTTTCAGTTAACCATCTGAGTGGCCAACGTTGTTAACCGATGCTTAGTCCCTGTGATTTTTTTTGCCAACAAGGAAGCTTATTTTAAAAAGACGGTGTATGTATGTAACGAGCAGAAACTGATGGAAAACGGACAAATGCAAAAGTGATGCTAGAGGGGTACGTAGAGCATCATAGTTTGATCGTAGGTCCACTGACAAAGCTGCTGTATTCGATGTGATGAGTTTTGTCACCTTAAAAAAAGTGAGGAGAATTTGAATTTCATTACATTTTTAATTTAAAATCAGACCAAATATCCTTTACACATGGGGCCTTTGGGAGTCACTTGGAAAATTTCAAATAGTTGTGTATTTCAAAAGACACTAATAAGTAAATTACGCATAAGGAGGGAAGCTACAAAAGTAAAACCACCAAATCTTTTTAAGAAATTTGTGTGTCTTTTTGAGCCTGAGACATACTGAAGGTGATATAACCTGTTGAGGATACAAGGAGTGGGTGCATCTTTGTCTGTGTGTGTCATGCAGTCAAGCTTTCAAAACCACAGATCAAAGGAGAAGGTGTGTTACAAATGAAGTAAATTACATGGAAAGAGATAACCGGTGTGGCGACTGCACTCCCGCCAAAATGATTTCTTACAAACTCCTTTAAGAGGTTGACGCAACATCTAAATATCTTCCACTGTGAGTTTATGTAAGCAGCTCTGTTGTTACTTTGCATGTCCAGTTTTAGTGGAGGATTATAATATGTCTTCTATGGATTTAGAACATCTTTGAAGTCAGGACTCAGACAAACCTTTCAAAGCCTGTTGTGTAATTTCAAAAATGCATAGTCACCAAAGGAAAACTTAGAATAGTGAGAAGTTGGTGGAAGGTTTTTGACCCTGCGGCAGTGATAGCTAAATGCATGGAAGCAGCTTGGGAATTGTTTCAGAGACATTCTTTAGGCAGCCTCAAAAAAAGGTTGCTTTTTTTTAGTCCCAGTGGAATCTGAATGATATTTCAGTCAAAAGGCGAGAGCAAAAGCCTGTGGTTGTGTGGGTGAAATTCGGATACCATCCAACGTTCAAAGCCTTGAAATACATATGCCACACAATGTTAAAGCATTCCTTTTCACAATTTACAATGCATAAACATGACGGTTTACAGAGGCCCAGGGTGATTATTTGCACAGAGGTCTAGTTTCAGCTATTTCAGGTTTTCTTGAGGCTGCCCCACGATGCCGCCTCACAAAGTGATTCTTGAAAGTGTTAAACCACAGGCCCCCCAGCCTTGGTGAACGCGAAACACTGACTGTTTGGACTTCAAATATCCAACACAGATTGTCGAGACAGCACAAGCTACAAAGAGAAACTCATGCCTGTATGAAAAGAAAACAAACTTGGACATTTATGTTGTTTTATAACATAAATGCTTTCGTCCATTCCTCTAGCGTTACACACATTTCTTTATGAATGAGAGAGGTCTGCTTTATATAGAAAAGTAAACACCACTTCTGTGATTTCATGACAGCAATATATTGTCTCATAAAAGAGAAGACATACAAATCACATCATACTGTGGAAGTTAAAGTCTGACAAGTCGCACCTTAAAATTCAACTCTGCTCTGGGTCATGTATTCATGGCATCGTCTTTTTGCACATACAGAACATGAACTTACTGTCAGCAGCTCTGATAACACAAGAGAGAATGCACCAATTTCTAATTTTTCAAAAGTTGTGAAAAACCTAAGCAGAGCAGCATATCCACAAGGGCCCCACTGATGTATCTTGAAAGACTGTGACTTCTCAGTTTGCATTTGATACGGTGTCTTTTTAGCAGCCACACGAGAAAGCCAGTTATGGGAAAACTGCAAAAGGGAGAGACAGGACGAGCTCCTGGGCCTTCAGAAGTCTTGTCAAAAGCCTTTCCTTTCTGTGCTTTGTCCCACTGATATTCATCTTGCCAGTTGAAAAGTGAAGACGGCAAAAACTTCGGGCTTGAAAAGAACTTTTCAACTTCTAAGAGACACCTCGCAACAGGACTGAGTATTTGAAAAAATAAATAAATAACTGAAACAGTAGGAATGGAAGGGACTTCCACACTGAGAAGCATGTTAAAGAATCAGATGCCGTGTTTGGAAAACAGAGCGACAACGAATGTGGCATTGTCCTGAGTGTGTTGATTCTGGCATATACCAATAAACATGCACTAAACTTTATATGTTCTCCGTCGGAGTATGTGTGTGTGTGTGTGTGTGTGTGTATGAGACAGACAGATATATAATATAATAGAAAGAGAGATTGTGTGTATCTGTGTGGTTTTTTATGTATTAGTTACGACCATCAGCAAAACCTTGTTCGACAGAATGCTTCTCAGAACTGTCATCCTACAGGGTGCTGTTAAAAGAAAAGTTTAATAAAGTTTGATCACTATTTATTTCATCTCAATGGGGCCTTTCAAAATTTGCAGAGCAAAAACTTTCACTCCACATCTTTTTACCTCAACTTTCAAAAGAAAGCTGACTTCATCACCGCACCTCGAGAGTTTGACAAAAATGAACGCTAAGCTCTTGAATCCTTTCTTTCTTTCGCTCAATGGCAAAATGAATAAATGATATTCCTCCCTTTAATCGACACACTCAGCGATAACAAAGAGACTTTGAGACACTTTGAGGACACCTAACGATCAGAAGCATCAGGAGGTGCTCTTCGTTTTCGTTGACGGACAGGCAGATCAAAAAGCAAGCCCCTTAAACGCTTCTACCCACTTTAGAATAATCTCGCCTTTTCCCTCTTTCAAGCACAAAGTGGGAAGAGAGAATAATCGTTTCATCTTTACTCTCTTCTCCAGTTTCAAAGTTATTTTGCCCGTGATAACGCGCTCTGTATTGACGACTTCGAAGGTGCCTTGTCTCTTGAAAGACGTGACATTTTATCTATATATAGTGTTAGAGTGTGCTTCAATTTAACTTTGTCTGGCGCAGAGCGTGTCTAGTGTTGATGTGGCTGACAGCTGCTGGTTGAAAGACACGGGGAAAGTACTGAAGATTCAAATGAAGTTTTGCCATGACGACAGTTGCTTGATGTATGCTAATCAATCGATGGGGTAGAAAATATGCTTGCTGGTGGAGAGAGAAAAAAGGTAAAAAGTGTGAGTGACAGAAACTTGTCAGACAGCATTCACCGAGATATCAAAAAGTCACAAAGTTTGCGTCGCCACACAAGAGCCCAAATCGCATGTGGTACTGTATATGCTACAAAAGGTTTGACTTGAAACGCATTGCATTTGATATAAAGGAAAAAGAAATTGGGACAATTCTCCATATGGTGTGGAAGCAAGCAAGATTCTTTTTTTTTTGACAAGGGAGGGGGGCGAGCTTCGTCTCTGTGACACCTACGGTGAATTCCTGAGAAAAATCTCTGTCTAGGTCTGTCTGAGCCTCTTCCATCCTTCAAAGGACACAGGCTATAGGATGTTGAATTTACATCACAAAAGACCCTGAACTGTCTCAGCAAGTAAAGGTATAACAGATGATCAAACACACACATCAGATCAAATGTATCACACATCAATATCTAATAGAACAGATTGTGAAAGAAGGACAAGACATCTGCTTTAAAAAAAGACATTCAGTCAAGGCTAAAAATATTCTTTCGCTTCACTTTATCAGAGTTGTTTAGAATCTTAGTAATAACGCAGCCAGATGCTTACAAGTTAACCACCATGGAGCGACTCTCCAGGCTACCTGACTCTGAGAATTTGGGTAAAAATCACAACATGTGAGCTGCTGCTGTTCATTTGAGCTTTCAGCTCAGCAGCCTGGAGCTTTCATAACGCAGTAAAAAAAAATAAAAAATCCATTCCAGATGTGGATCCCTGTGGAATTCCGGGAAACACAAACTATCTCCACTAATCAGTTCATCCATATGTACAGTATGTACAACAGGTTAAGATGACTGAGACAGCAAATTCAATCACCAGCGAATATTGGCAAAGTCACTCCTAACTTCTCTCGTTACATCTCTTAAATGTGGATTTATCAAAGTATGTCTGGCTCTTACTCTGTGTGGAAGGGTTTGATTGCATGTTGTTAAGCCACTACATGTGAAGATTTAATCATGCGCCCCCATGTTAACTAAAAGAGACCCACATCCTCAAGACAAAAGAAACACGGGAGTGTCATAAAAATGTAAAGCCTGCAGAGGAGATTGAAGATGGCTTTTTTTGTTTGACGTCAGAGCCCTGAACGCTCTTCCAAACTCACTGTTAGAACAATAAATCCTCACATACTAACAGTCATGCTCATGTATACCATGGCTCATATTTACACACAAAGAATAGATTTGTTCATGCTGGCGCACACACACAAGGATTTATGTTATCGTCAAATGTGATTAACGCTGTAAAACGATTAACATCAGGGTATTTATTCAAATCTAGACATCAAACACATTCTTTCTTCTTTTTTATCTCCACAGATCACAGAAGTTACTGTCAGGGGAGAAAGGCGCCTTCCAATCAGCTCAGCGTCCAGCGCGGTCGGCCAAACAAGGCCCGCGCTTTCAGCGCAGCCCTCTCGCTCTCTTTCATCATTTACAGAGGGAGCGTGCCACGCCAGCGCCATCCTCCACCAGAACAAGGCCGCTCACTGTCAGGCGGACAATGGACAGTAGAGCTGGAGGTGGCAGTGGACTCATTGTGAAGGATGATGTCACCAACATTAGACCCTGACACTGCCAGACACCAGTCTGAGGGTCCGTGGTTCAAGAGTGAGGGCGAACGACAAAATGGTAACAGTGACACGTGGGGCTGTAGGGTCGAGGGGCTGGGGGACATGAATGGAGACTGTGTGTGTAATCATGGTACAGCTCAAAGAAATACACACTCTTTGAAAAAATATCTACAGTCATGCATAGAAACAGAAGGAAAGAAGGAGATCCAGACCAGAGAGACCAGCTAAGCTTTTGAATTATTGTATTGTGATGATTGTGAACTCTGTATATAGGCACATTCTCTCAGTGAAAAGCTCTGAATACAGGGCATCTATTTACACACCTTATTCAACTCTCACTATAAAGAAAGACAGTCAACAGCTGCAGCTTGGAGCTACACGCAATATTGACCAATCCTCACCAATCCTCCATCTATCAACAACATCATGGCATACTAATCACTAACTCAGACACTTACACACGATCATTTACTGATAAATTGTCAAAGACAACTCATAAATGTGTTAGCTGGCTAAGGTGTTATTTGCAATGATACTAAGAGTAATGTCTGATATCGGTCTGATATGAACTCACATAGCTGGATTGGGTATCGGTGACAACGGGCCGATCTGGTTTTGGAAACCATTATTTTGATACATAATAATTCATACATTTATACGTATGTATTTATTTGATACATTTTGTTTTACAAAGTTAGGAAACAATGTTTAAGTCAATCCTGATGTTGCCTTCCACAAAAAAAAAGAATGATCCCAGTCACTTCCACACAGTGAAACATACAGCTTATCAATTAAACACTGGTATCAGATTAGTACGTGGTATCTGCAGCATGAATTCAAAATGTATTTTTCTTATCCCAGTTAGTCTCAGATAACAGTTTTGAGAGTTTACTTCAATAGTTTTGGAGATTTCAACCAAGAGCAGAGGGGGTTAAAATAAAAGTGACAGATACTCATAAGGACCCAAAAAGCATTTTATATCAGACTATTAAGGGCCTCGCCTGAGATGCGGGCCACCTAGTGGCATCTGACTGTACTTGGATATTGAGAGGCAGTCGAGCTTCTGACATAAAAGCATGTAACACTGGATGTTCTCCTCAGAGTTACAGGAGTGATTATGAGAGCTTGCCTAGTGGCCCTTTGCAGCTGATGAAGTTGCATACAAATAAAGTTGCGACATAGTTACTAATACTGCATAAGGAATTTCTATGAAGAAATTCCACAATTATGGATACATTACGCGTGTGTATGTGTGGGAACATCAAAACAGTTTTAATTGTGCCTAATCCTAGACTAAGATTATTTCTAATGGGAAATCTTCTGTGGAGATGCGCCGACTCAATTTCCATCTGGGATTATTGGACTCTTTCATTCACAGGTTTATATCTCAGTGTGGATAATCAGCCCTTAGTGCCTTGGACTGCCATTAAAGAAAAACATGGAAATATGATATATATGGTGTAAACACACATGCTGGTGTGCAGCCCCACATGCACACACACACACACACACACGCACTTGTTTATCTACTGTAATGTGGTGGTACTTTAACCTTGCTGGATGTAGCCTAGTGTGAATTTGAGATGTGTTCTTTGCTTTTTTGCTTTTTTTTGAAGGGAACATGAGGCCTAGGACGCCCATGTAGGTCAAAAACAAATCCTGTGCCTCAAGCTGGGAAGCCAGAAACTTCTTTGAGCATCTGAGGGAGAGGAGCAGGAGCACTGAGTTTCTTCCAGGTGCTGCTTTTCACAGTGGTAATCCTGCCACGGCGTGACTGTGATTTTTACAGAAAATCTCTCCAAACAGGGCCCAGATGGTGGGAGGTAGAAACACACACAGAAAACACATTCATTCACAGACGCACACACAAACACAGGACTGTATACAGACGCAGGCGTACACTTGCGCTTATAGAGTACAACTCTCGCGCACGCACACACTCTAAAGGTGAGAACTGACTTGTTGCTCCTGGGTGGTCTCTGTGTGAAGATAAGGCCAGGCAGGAATAAAGCCTGTTACGTTCAGGCACAAGTTTGGGACTGTTTCGTTATGCTCCTCTTTTGTACAAATGTGAAATGTCTCTGGAAAAGTAAGAGCTCGTAGCTTTCTAAGTTTAGCTCCGATTACAGAGGGCTTTCTTAATGACAATGAGTCAGGACTGAGGCTACATAAACCTCCTCTTTGGCTCTATTTCTACTCTCATCAGCTTTGTTTGTGGAGGAGTTATACGTGTCCTAATACAGGAGACACCTCTGCTTTGTCGTGGTGTTGGTCAGGCATGAAGATCCTGACAGTTGTTAGCTGGTGGAGGATGTGGATATGGAGGACGTTTGAAATGAAGAGATAAAAGAGTTAATCTTCTACCGTTTCTAAACCGATTCCCTCCATAGCTCCCTATTTATGTACGAGGAAAGAAAGAAAAAAAAAAAAACTTGCTCCATCTCTCCCAGCCTTTCTCCAATGCTCCCTTTCTGTTTCATGTGGTTACTGGAACAACAATGTACATTCTGAGTAGCAATGCCTTTGATGTTGTTGCATTCACCGAGCAGTCTTAAACCGGAGGAGAAAAGAGAGGGCAAAAAAGACGCAGGAGATATTCTGTGGTGTGCTTTTTCTCTCTCTCTCTCCCCCTCTCTTTCCATCTGTCTCTTTCACTGGCAAGGCATCTGACATCTCCCAGCAAAAGACAAATTCGGTTTCGCCTGTTAAGTCGTCAGTCAAAGCTGCGCAAGAGTTTTTTTCTCTTTCTTGCTCTCTCTCTCTGCCTCTTTCTCTCCCTCTCTCTCTCTCTCTCTCTCTCTCTCTCTCTCGCTGTCTTTGCTTCATTTCCGTGGATGCGGTGTTGTGAAGGCCACTTACACGCTTTTCAAACAATAACAGTTCACCACCCCCCCCACCGCAAGTTTCCTCTCTGCCAGAACCCTACACTTGCCAGCACATCCTTTAGAGAGCCTTGAACCGACAACAAACGCTAAGCATTTTCACCGCTGAAAGAAAAGAGGGGCCCATCCGCAAGCCCCTGTGTAATTAAACTCTAATACTGTTATATGTTTCTCTTAGTGAGAGGGAGCGTTCCAGGGGCCGCTTTCTCACAGCAGTGAATAGCTGTTTCCAGGTCAACACAATGCCCTGCATAGAGTGGAATAAAGCTATAGGAAAGGGACATTGCAGGTTTAGAAACTTTCTTTCAGAGTGTGAGATGTGCTCTCTGGTACTGAGCTCAGAGAACCCACAACATCGCGTTGATGAACTTAACCCTGTCTTTGAGCTTCATCTTGCTGAGCTCACAATCACAGCATTTACATGCACTTCAATTTTAAAGCTGACAATATTCTTAATTTTCTTACTGTCAATAAATCCCGTGATAACACCAAAATCGACGTGAAAGTCTGTCCCTCAATAAAACTTCAATTTTTAGAAACGGGGCAAAGTATCCATGGTTTGCAGCAACGTACAATGCCAATAATTGTATTATGGCAACTGGGTTGGGAATAACATATATCAGGTTTTGGATACAATACTTTTTGGTCAATTGATTGTTGTTTTTGTTTCTTGGGATTTCTTGACAAAAAGAAAAATATAGACTATCACTAAACTTATCCTTCAAGCAATGCTTGCTTATAAAAAGTTGATGTTTCATAACAACCCTCATGTTGAGCCAGCTCTTCTCTAACACATACAGTATAACTCCACAGTGAAAGATTCCTGGCATGATGCTAATTGTACATGACATAGTTTTACCACCAGGGCCTCTCTTTTACATATAAGAGACAACCTGGAGTGTCTGAAAACTAACATCCTTCTTGTGCCTCTGTTCATCACCTTGGCAGAAACGCATCACATCTCAATCTCTCTCTGCTGTGGTAGTCCGCTAGCCATCGCTTTACCACCATCCCGGCCTTGCTGCTTATACTGAAGACATGAAAGAGACAATGAAACACGAGGC